ACTAATTTAGGATCTAAACCTTTACATGTAAATATATATATATATATATATATACATCAAATCATTGTATAGAATGATTCAAGGAAGAATACAATCAATTTCGTCTAATTCTTTCTACTGTCTGGTATCAGAGCAGGTTACCTGCATCTGAATACTTAAATCCATTTTTTTTTCTTCACAAATAGCCTCCTTTACATCACATATCAAGTTCAACAAAATCAGACTGATGGCTAGAAACAAGAATAAGCTTACTATCCAAAGCTTCCACCAGATGGCAAGCTTGGTTTCAGTAAAGCTGTCAAGCTCAAACTTCCTTCTATGGAAATCACAGATTTATCCATTGATTCGGAGTGCTCAGATTATGCATCACCTTGAGGAGGAAGTGTCGCCAACAGTGACAGTGATCAAAGATGAAAAAGAAGTGCTCAATCCAGAGTATGAAGTCTGGCTGAATAATGATGGGCTGCTTACAAGTTGGCTACTTGGAACTATGAATGAAGAAGCATTAAGTCTTGTTGTTGGCTGTGACTCAGCTTTTCAAATTTGGAAAAGCTTGGAGGATCATTACCTAGCTTCAACAAAGGAGCAAGAAATGCATCTCAAAGGACAGTTGGCGGTTAAACGAGGAGATGGTGAACCTCTGGAAAAGTTCATTAGAAAATTCAAAAGAACTTGTGATAACTTGGCTGCCATTCGAAAGCCTCTAGAAGACTTAGACAAGGTGTTTCAACTTTCCAAGGTTGTTGGAGCACAATTTCAACCTTATAATCTTGCTGTTCTATCAAAAGCCCCATATCCTACTTTTACTCAATACATTGCAAGTTTACAAAATAATGAAAGAGACTTGCAAAATGCAGAACAAGAAAACAAGGACAAAATTCCAGTTTATGCTCAAGCCTTTGTTACACATAGGGGGAGAGGACATCAACATGGCAGAGGCTATGGTGGTGGCAGAAACTTCAATTCTAGAGGCAGAGGCTTTGTTCAAGCTGGGAATTACCATAATTATTGGACGAGCAATAACAACAACAACAAAAGCTCAATGGTTAACAATAATCCTCCACCACCGCAACCCATGTCACATAAATCTCAAGAGAAGAATGTAAGACAACACGGTAAGAATAGTTGTCAAATTTGTGGCGTTATAAGACACACTGCTTTGAAATGTTGGTACAGATTTGATCATGCTTATCAATGTGAAGAGTTGCCTCAAGCCCTTGCAACTTTAAGCCTATTGGAAGACAAAGATCAAAATATCTATGTTGACAGTGGGGCTAGTGACCATATGATCTCAGATTTAGGTAAACTCTATACTAAGAGACCATATTATGGAAAACAAAAAGTTTTTACAGGTGATGGCACTCCTTTGCAAATTTTTCATATTGGATCTACTACTCTTGGCTCTTTAAAACTTAATGATGTTTTAGTAGTTCCTAAACTTAAGAAAAATCTCCTCTCTATTAATAAATTTACTGATGAAAATCCATGTGTTTTTGAATTCTCATCTAATGGTTTTGTGATTAAGGACCAAGTAACGCAAGCGAATTTGGCAAGAGGAACTAGGAAGGGTCAATTGTACGCACTGGCTGAAGGAGAAAAGCTTGCTTTATCTATTATTTTAGAAAAAGCTACTGATTCCATTTGGCACCAAAGGCTGGGACATCCAAATTCTAGCATTCTAAAAACTCTAGTTTCAAAGAATAATATTTCTGTATCTAATTGGACTAGGCACCCTCTTTTGTGCACCAGTTGTCAAATGGGGAAGAGTTGTAAGCTTCCTTTTTCTAGAAATAATGAAAGAACATATTTTCCTCTTCAAAAAATACATTGTGACTTGTGGGCGCCTTCCCTAGTTCAATCACCTAACCACTTTACCTATTATGTGATTTTTGCTGATGATTTTAGCAGGTACACATGGTTTTATCCAATGATTAAGAAATCTGACTTCTTTGGTATTTTCCTAAAATTTCAGAAGCTAGTAGAAAATCAATTTAACCGAAGAATAAAAAATTTCCAGTGTGATGGTGGTGGAGAATTCTCTAGCATGGCTTTCACTAATCACGTAGCAGAATGTGGCATTAAGCAACAAGTGTCCTGCCCCGGTACTCCAGAACAGAATGGAGTTGCTGAAAGGAAGCATAGACACATTGTTGAGACAGGTTTGACCATGTTACTCCATGCTAACATGCCATCACGTTACTGGGTTGATAGCTTTTCTACTGCTGTTTTCCTTATTAATAGAATGCCTACTCCTGTATTACACAATAAGACTCCATATTATTTACTTTATGGCAAAGCTCTTGACTATTCTATGATTAAAGTCTTTGGGTGCCGCTGCTTTCCTTATTTAAGAGATTATGCTTCTAATAAACTCAAACCCAAGTCTCTACCATGTGTCTTTATTGGGTATAGTCCTATACACAAGGGTTATAAGTGCTTACATCCTTCAACCCAACGTATTGATATTTCAAGACATGTTGTTTTTGATGAATATTATATGCCATATACTGATCTAACAAAACTTTCAAGTACTCTTAGTATAGATGGGGAACTTTGCACATATCCTAATTATGATGAGTGGTGCCAATCTAAATCAAACCTACAGCCATCGAAGCACTTGGATAAGCAACCATCTACATCTCAGATGCCTTCCCGATTTACTATCATCACTAATGAGGGAGAGAACACTGATTGCACCAAAGACTCAACAAGAACTGAACTTGAGATGGCAACGGGAATACCAAATTTATGTCAAGAAGAAATTAACACTTCTTTTAAAGAAGATGGTGTTCAATTCCATGGTGCTACAGAAGAATTAGATTCCTCTCAATCACTTATTGGAGCACCTAATTCAGATCACCTTATAACATCAAATGGAAATCAATCAACTGGAACATCTGAAATACCTATGTCAGGAGTTTCACCACCAGTACATAATGCTAATTCAGTATCTAATCACCCTGTGATGACTAGGACTCAATCAAGGACTCATACAGGACATGTTCAAACTAAATTTACCAAGCATGCACATACTATGACGACTAATGACTCATCTTTGAATCTTGTAGGTCTGGATACTTAAGAACCTAAATCAGTTTGATAGGCATTACAGCTTCCACATTGAGTTAAGGCAATGCAAGAAGAACTAGATGCTCTTCAAAAGAATAAAACATGGAAGTTAGTGCCACCAACTTCATCCTCAACAAACATTGTTGGCTCTAAATGGGTATTCAAAACTAAGCTTCATCCAGATGGAAGTATAGAAAGATTCAAGGCACGCCTTGTAGCCAAAGGCTTTTCTCAAATACCAAGGGTTGATTTCGATGAAACATTTAGTCCTGTCCTCAAACCTACAACATTACGCCTGGTCATTGCCTTAGCCATAACTCTGAAATGGTCTCTTAGACAATTGGATGTGAAAAATGCCTTTCTTCATGGAAAACTCAAGGAGACAGTATACATGACTCAACCGCCAGGTTTTGAAGACCAAAATATCCTAACCATGTTTGTAAACTCAATAAATCCATCTAAGGCCTCAAACAAGCTCCGAGGGCATGGTTTGATACATTTACATTGCATCTTTTGAAGATGGGATTTAGCTGCAGCCGAGCTGATTCTTCTTTGTTTGTGCTCCTTAACAATCAAGGTACTGCATTACTCTTACTATATGTTGATGACATTGTTCTCACTGCCAGTTCAAAACTTTTGTTACAGAGTACTATTGACCATCTTAGTAGGGAGTTTGCACTTAAGGACCTTGGGCAACTTAGCTACTTCCTGGGTATTGAAGTCACACCCTTTGATGGAGGTACTTTTCTTTCGCAAGCAAAATATGCCACCGACCTTCTTACTCGAACCTCTATGTTAGAAGCATCAACAATTGCAACACCTTTGGCCACTAAAGAAACTACTACCTTGAGAGACATGGAACCTGTGAATGCCAAGGAATATAGAAAAATCGTGGGAGCTCTCCAATATCTAACAATTACTAGAACTGATATTTGCCATGCTGTCAATAAAGTGTGCCAGTTTATGCAAAACCCTACTCTAGCTCATCTTCGACAAGTACAGCGTATTTTGAGATATATCAAAGGTACTCGGCATTATGGGCTTCGTTTTTACTCCTACAAAACCTTGTCTTTGACAGGATTTTGCGATGCCAACTGGGCAGGCTGTGTAACTACAAGAAGAAGTACTACAAGGTATTGTGTTTTTCTTGGAGCAAATTGTATCTCTTGGTCCTCAAAGAAGGAACCCACTATGGCGAGATCTACTGTTGAAGCAGAGTACCGTGCATTGGCTTATGCTACTACTGAAATAGTATGGATTACGTATATTCTTCGTGACATTGGAATTTCTTTACCATCACCTCCTCAATTATTCTCTGATAATATCAGTGCTCTTCATATGTCTATCAATCCTGTATTCCATGCTCGAACAAAACACATTGAATTAGATTACTATTTTGTTCGAGAGAAAGTGGCCATTGGTACTCTAGTGACTAGGTACATTCCTAGCACTGAACAGCTTGCTGATGTGCTTACAAAACCCCTACCTCGCTCACAATATCAATTGTTAAGATTCAAACTGGGTGTGGTTGCTCCACCCCACTACAGTTTGAGGGGGAGTATTAAGGCGAAATCACAGCAGAGGATGAGTAAGGAAACAATCACAACAGATACGGAAATCACGTCCAAGCAGGAAACCATATCAAAGCAATCAAAGACTGATCCAAGGAGCAATAGCTGCAACGGTCAAAATGTATAGCAACGGTAGTATTGCTCAATACTAGGCACTAATTTAGGATCTAAACATTTACATGTAAATATATATATATACATCAAATCATTGTACAGAATGATTCAAGGAAGAATACAATCAATTTCTTCTAATTCTTTCTACTGTCACGATTCCCTACGGAGATGTATAATTTCTCATCTAACAACATCACCGTCATCACCAACCCCGCTACACCGCCGCAATCTGTTCCAGTCTCTCCATCCCCGTCACCAACAGAATCCCCAAGTTCTCCTCCTATGGTCCCTGCACTCTTTTTCATAGGCGACTCTTCCGTAGATTGTGGCAACAACAAATACCTCGGCACTTTTGCTCGCGCCGATCACCCTCCCTTCGGTAGAGATTTCGACACGCACCACCCTACCGGTCGTTTTTGCAATGGAAGAATCCCCGTCGATTATCTGGGTAAATTTTTTTCTTGATTCTTTTTCTCCTTCATTCAGCTCTTTGGAGTTTTCTTTCTTGGTTTCTTGGATGTGTTTGGGGGGTTGGGCATTTTCTTGTTTGTAACAGAGTGCAATTTTAGAAATTTTCAAACCTAAAATGATTGTTCCTTTCCTACCTGATGTGTTCTTGGGGAAAAAAATTATCGACAAAATTTCTTGGCAAGTCTTGCTTTCTTGGAATTTCCTTGGTGGGATTTGTTTCTTGGGTCGAAAGATTAATAGGGTATTGACTGAAGGAAAAAGTGGACGAAGACCGGTGAAGACAGTCGTGATTTTGATTCAGTTCGTGTGATTTGGGAGGAAGTGAATGAGTTTTGGTCTGGCGTTCCCCCGATTTCGACTGTTTGAGTTAGGGTTTTGTTTCTCTTCAGTTAACTAATCAAAAAGGAGAGTTATTTGTTCCACTCCGCCTTTGTTCTCTCGTTGTCCTTGTTTTCTTGTTGAATTCATTTGTTTCTTTGAATTTGTTTCAGTGCCGCAAGAATTTATCATAATTCCTTGTTATGTTTGATGTCAAACTAGGTATTGCTTGAATATCTCAGAAAATCTTTTAGTAGCATTTGTCAAGAAGATCTCAAATCTGGGTTTCAAACGTGATTTTTTACTTCAACAGTGGAGAAGTCTTTGTCTTAGAAGAACATTTTTGCCAGTTTAAGGTAAGGAGGACGAAGAAGGAATTTATATATTTTTTAAAATAAAAATTACCACGTCACTCTAAAGAAATTCCACCTAATATTTAAAAAAGTAAAAGAACTGAATTTTTTTATGAAAAATGTACCATATCAGCATTAAACTGATAAAAGGACAAAATTGGTACAAAAAAGTGAAGTTTAGGGATAATTTTGGTATTTTCTGAAGTTCAGAGACAATTTTGATCCAAAATTGAAAGTTGAGGGACCAAAATGGTATTTTAACCATTTTAATTTGCATCAAGAATGAAGGGTGGGTCCCCTTCTAACAGACTATAACGGTGGCCTCACTCACAGGATGGCTCCCGCCAATTTTCTCCTGCAGGCAGTACTCTTCAATGACCATATAATAAATTCTAGAAAAATGATTTCTTTCGTCCGATTGATTGCTCCGAATTCAGAGATTCTGTTTCAGGTGAAAGCTTCATCTATCAGCTCTTCCCCTTAATTTCTACTCTGTTTTTCCTCTGTATATTCTTAATTATATGAATGTGACGTTTTGAAGTTTCATGAAAGATTGCTTCTTGGCTTAGTCTTGTTGCCAAAGAAAAACTTGGGAAAAGGAGAAGTGGGTTTTTTTTCAATTCGACTAATGTCAGTACCCTTCTCTTGATTCTAACGATTCTACATCCTCTTTCTTTGATATTTGTGTTTGTTTCCTGAGAAAATTACGAAGATATATGAGAAGAAAAGGGGGAGGGGGGTGTTTGTTCATTTTGATAACCATATTTCAGTTTGATGAAAATTCTTCTTCTTGGCTCTGTATTTCGAGGGAAATGAAAAACAGGGTCGCGTTCAATTTGATAAAGATAAGAAAAGATTGTACTGATTCTGCGTTCTTCTTCTTGATCAAGCCTTTGAAGATTTCATGTTTGTTGAAATGCCTATAAATTATGACTCTGTTTCTGTTGGGGTTTAATCTGGCGGTGGCAGATATAGAACCCCTTGAGCAAAAAGAGTTCTTTCTGTGTCTTCCAGAATCGGAAAACATGGAAGAAGACAACTTGCCAAGAATCAGAGACGTTCCCGTGAAAAAGAGACATGAACTCTTCATGAAAAAGCTGAGACTCTGTTCGGAATCACTTGAGACAATCATTCCAATTGATACCAAGCTTAAAATACTTAAGGAGCTGTTGGATTATGTTCCTTCTCTTGACTCTCTTCCGGATGATGTAGTCCAGCTAATCAAGGAAATGGTAGCGGCAAACATTTTCAGGCCATTTCCTTCTCCCTCCGCTCATGTTTCTGATATTAACTATGAAACTGACGAACTCTATGATCCGGAGATCAAACGGCCACTGGTTGAAGAGTCCTGGTTCTTTCTGCGACACGTTTACCAATTCCTCAGATATGTTGTCGATGCTGGCTTGTTGCGAGATGATCATACTGAGGATTCCTTTGTTAAAACCCTGTTGAACATTGCATTGGATGCAGATGACCACAGAGAAGCTATATCTGTCACATTCCTTTTGTTATCTTTCTGGAAAAAATTCACACAGAAAAGGCGCCTAATTTGCAGAACTGTGCAACACATTCTGTCTCGTTTTGTCTCTGAGAGCCATCTGTACATCACAAAGTGCAGTGTGCCCTCTGTTGTCGTTCGCTAATGATCGGATTCGTGAGTTGTGGGTGCCACTACTAGCAGAGAACAGAATGTTTCTGGAGCGGGTTTTGATTCCCATGCACAAGATCAGCTCTTACTCCATTTACAGTCGGTGCTTAAGCCAATGCATGTTAGCGTTTTTAGCCATGGACAGTGAACTCGACAATTTGATGATTCGGGGTATTTTCAGCGGCAGGCAGAGACCCTTGAGGAGTACTTGTGAGATCGAACTATTGGATGAACTGAAATCTCTGATGACACACACTCTGCTTGGAAGAATCACTCCATCTAATGCTGAGCTTGTGTTTAGGTGGATTGCCAAGTGCTTGACAAGTTTACATGCAAAGGTGGTGACCAAAGCTTTGAACATTTTGAAATGGCCTAGATTTATTTTATTTGCCAAACAGCGCAAGCAGGTTTCTGTTCCAATTATAACACCGGCGCTGGAAAATGTAGGAAACCAGTTCTTGTGGGACAATAACGTTCGGGAACTTGCAGCTCGTGTTCGCGAGCAGTCCTACAACGAGAATGATGCTGACTGGCAGTTTGGAAGCAGAACAAGGAGAAGAAAACGATGGCCATGTTAAGCAACTTATGCTTTTGATGACAGTTTGAACTTTTTCATAGACTTGAGACACAAATCACTTCTCTGATAAGCATAGAAAGTGAGAGCAGAAGGCATAAAAATGTTGAATGCATGCTACCCGACAAGTAGAAATTTTTGGCTTTTCTTATGTTCATATCAGTAAAGATGGAAACAGTTTGTCTTATAGCGGTGGTAATTTTTTTCAGAAACTTGAAATATAAAAAACTAGTGCTTGTATTCATTGACAGCTTTAAATTGAGCACTTGAATCTCCTCATGATCTCTCATTTTTTAGCCTTTCTCTCCCTCTTAACCGAGTGGAAAATTGCGCATTCTTCAGTGTCAACTGCTACAAATACTATTCCTCTAAAGGTTTCATCAGTATATCTTGGCCGATGTCACAGGGGCAAAAGCCTGCTTGTATCCCCTCACCTTATCAAGTTTGAAGGTTTTAACCCCTTACTTTATATTATGACACTTTTAACCTTTCACCTTATTAGATTTGTAGATTTTAACCCCCCATCTTATACTGTAACACTTTTAACCCCTTACCTATTAAAATTGAAGAAAATAGTCCTCAGTTTGTAATATTTTGTTAGTTTTATTAACTGACTGTTAACTCTATTAGCTGACTGTTAATTGACAAAAACTTTCTTTTAATTAACAAAATTAACAGAACTAATCTTATAATATTTCATTAATTCTACTAATTGGCTATTAGTTGACTGTTAGTTGACAAAAATCTACTTTCAACTAATAAAGTTAACAGTCAGTATAAAGTGAACGTTATTTCTTTCGATTTTAATATGTGAGGGGCCCAAACCTACAAATCTAGTAAGGTGAGAGGCTAAAGTGTCATAGTATAAGATAAGGGGCTAAAACCTTTAAACTTGGTAAGATGAGAGGCTCAAAGTAGGTTTTTGCCTGTCACAGGAAGATCACTAGCCTAGAAAAGTTTGTTGCAGAAATCTTAAATCCGAAAACATTAACACAACAAATACTATCCATCAAAAAGAAATGCAACAAAACAGACTAAAAAAGTTAGACACAAAGGGGTATCAATAAAATGAAAGGATGGCAAAATGTATAAATGAAATTCAGTGCATACTAGAAGAAAGCTTTCTTTAGAAAGGAAATAGAGAAATGGGATAGGAGCAGTCACAACCGCTAGGCCTCCATCTGAGCAGCTATGGTTGCTCTTGCTCTTTAGTTTGTTTAAGTCTTCTCAGTTTTATTCTTAAACCATAGCACCAAAACAAGCATCTTGGTCCACATAGAAAGATAGCCTGCCTTTAGTTAAAAAAACCAACATCAGTATCAAGAAAAAGATGACCATGCATGATATTCAAGGGGGAGAAGAAAAATGAGTGCACGGGAGGGATCAAAGGAGATTAAGATTCTTTACAAGAAGACAAACAAGGTAAAAGGAAATTGAGTCTTTCTGTATAATTTAATTCATTGTTTGACATTCCAAATTAAGCTTACAGCTATGCATGAGATGGGTTATGAACTGGTTTGACTTATGTTTGCTTGAGAAAAGAAACAAGAAATAATTCAACGGCTCTAAGAGCTAGATTAGGCATGGCAAGTGAAAAAATAAACGTGGGGTTTATGGGATTTTGGCGTCTGTCTGTCTGTCTGTCTTGGTAGAAAGTACCTCTTTAATCAGGTTCAGAAACCAGGAACAGACAAAAAGTTTAATGCATAGCAGCTAATATATTTTCTTTTATGGGGGATTAAGATACTTCAATTCTGAACTACAAATCAATTTGCACATACTAGATTAAAAACAGGTATACAATCGAGTTTAATTCATCCCAAATACTGAAAGAAGCAGCTATATAATTTTAGCTAGATAACCATGGCTCACATGTTAGGGATTAAGGCTATAAGCACACACAGCTCCATGAAATCTTGTTGAACCGCAGTTTGATCAAAGCTGGACTCTACTAACTCATTAAGCTTAATAAACAGATTGAACCCAAAAATTTAGGCTCACAGGTCAGCTAAGGGACCGTTCGCTCATCTTATATTCAATATCAAACCTTGTGAGCCATTCACAAAAAAGGGCTTGCCATCAGCTTATATTTTAATTTAATTGAACTTGTCTAATGGGCTTACTGACTAAGATTCTTAAATATTAAAAACTTTCAAACTCCTAAAGTTGCACAGGATCCCCTTACATTGCATATTAGCTTAAACATTCATGCACATGATTCTTGCAAATAAAAGCTAAGGGATGACACTGAATTTCCAGTGAAAGTTTGGGGATTGAGGGGAAATGTATTCCTTCCCTAAAACAATACCTAAAAGTATAAGAAAACAGGATTAGACAGCTTCACTTAAAAACATGTGTGGCATTAAAACCAAAAGAGAATACAATATCAAGAGATCTGAAAAAGATGAAAGCATAACTAGTAAAATGGGAAATAGTTTAAAGCAAAAGCAAGAAGTATTAAAAAATAGCAAATAAAATCAAATAATACTCACTTATTTACCTTCTGTTATGCTGCCAGTGTCATTCTGACTGCCAAATGCCAGCCATAGGTGAAACTAGGCTCTCAAAGTAGATTTTAGGTGGACCTAAACAAGCAGCATAATAATCCCGACTACGTTAAGCCCTAAAAGCATTCTCTTTTGTATTGTAAATGGTAAGCACGAAGTTCCATTCAAACAGGATTTCACCATTTTCTGAAAAGAATAACGGGTTTGAAAAAACTGAAGGGTTATTGAACTTGGGTGTGTATTGGATGCTAAGCATTTTTGTCCAGGAATCTTTGTCTCCAAAGTTCTCTCATAATCCAAATACCAGCATATTGATTGGAATTATTACAAAGAACACAAAGGCATCCTTCCAAAACCGCCCAACGTTTCTTGCTTCACACCATCTCCATAACTGGTTGCAATACGTCCTAAACAGTCTAATTTGCTAAATCAAGTGAACCAATCTGTTTTTCACTGCTGGACAGCCATTTCAAAGTACCACAAACATATTAACAAACAGAATCACTACCACGTAGGGCATCAAATTCACAACGCTGAGTCCTCCAAGAATTGGTCCTCAACCAATACACCCTTACCCTTAGCATTCTTCTATAACTGTAAAGGGATATAGTTACCACTTTATAATCATTGTTACAAGAATCATAAACAAACCCAGATGCACTGTGACAATTCGGCAACATTTTAAATTCTCTTAAAGCAGGGTTTAAGATCATGACTTTTGAACAACAACCCACAACCCTGGTTGGACCATAAAAATTCCAATTTGGGTAAACGACATCTATAGTATCAACAAAGAGTTCATTGAACAAGGAGCAAAGGGGGCAGCTTTTGAGTCTATAATGGTCGAATCCATTAAGACAACCCAACAAGACCCTTAATTTGGGGTTTCTTACTGATTCCGCCAAGTGCTTGTCGACCAAAGATGAATATCCCATTAGGGATTTCCAGGATTTGCAAACGCACCCGAATCGAATCAAACTCTTTATTGGCAATTTCAAGAGGACATCTCCAATGACTTCGCCAGGAAGAAGTGGCGGTGGTAGCAGAGACCGAGCTGTGTTGTATGATAGCGGCTCCGCTTCAGTGTCGCTCTCGGAATGGAACCGCTTCGTGGACCGGTGCCCTCGTGGAGGATGGAGGCTTGGCCGGGCATCGGAACACGATTCGTCGACTTTGTACTTTAGAGGAGACATGATGAAAGCATGAACATATATATTTAAAGTGTGTTTAACTATTAACATTTATGAAATTATGGGTTTAAAAGTTTTATTTTTCTATAAATAATTTCATAATTATTCACTCTATTTATGTTGTATAAAATTTTGGTGATTAAAGGTTTGATGACTAAATGAAGAGAATTAGAAGAAAAAGGACTTAAATGCAAAGAGTTGAAAAAATGAGGATTTAAGGATAAATCAGAAGTTTAAAGGCTCAAGTGAGATTTTCTCCATTCTTGATCAAGGAGCAAATTGCAAAGTTCAGAAATATGATGATCAACTTGCACGGAATCCAGGAGTCAGGGACCAAGACTGTTATTCTGCCATTAAGCAAAATTGCACAAAAGGCCAAAAACCCGACACGAAGGGTGCAGCTGACGCTCCACGCAAAGTGCCGGCACCTTGTAAAGAGTGTCGACCCCTTGCGCGGTAATTCAGCCCAGCCCCACATCCATTCTAATTAGGGTTTATAGGATTCTATAAATACCCATCCAAGTTATTTTAGAGGGGGTTCCAAGGCTGGGGAGGCTGCTACCAGACTTCTATTTTCTTCTTCAAGGCTATAGAATTATGTCAAAGGGTAACTAAACTTTCAATAAGATTAGGGAGAATCTTGATTGAAGAATTTAACTTATTATTTTATTTTGATTATTTTATAGATTTTATTGTTTAATTTTATTTTTGAGAGATTGTTAATCATTTTCAGATCTGAAAACCCTGAAAATTATATTTATCAAATTTCATATAAGATTAGTCATGCTCTTTTTATGTGTGATTTGTTAGAATATAATTG